TGGGGCCACTTTATTTATGCAGCGTTTTTTTGATGATACATACAGATGATGTGATGTCTATTTTATGTCATCACAGGTATCCGATGGGACAGTCCAAGCTGACTGGCGCCATACTTTTGCCGATACCGTAGGGACTTACCATCACTTTGAATGGGCAGTTGGAACAGGCGAGGGAAAATCTGACATTCTGGAATTTGAAAATGTTGGCATGAATGGAAGTGTTAAGGTCAATGGCCTTGATCTTGGTGGTTTAAGTGCATGCTTTATCACCCTGAGGGCTTGGAAACTAGATGGTCGCTGCACTGAGCTTTCTGTAAAAGCTCATGCGTTGAAGGGTCAACAATGTGTTCACTGTAGGCTTATAGTTGGAGACGGCTATGTAACAATCACAAGAGGAGAAACTGTCAGAAGGTTTTTTGAGCATGCTGAAGAGGCAGAGGAAGAAGAGGTAGTTAAGATCCAGAAAAGCTTATTATAGGCAATTGAGACTTATATCTTAAGGGGTTAAAACTAATGTGTTATGTTTATTTAATGTTTTTTTTCTTCAGGATGATGATTCCATGGACAAGGATGGAAATGAGCTGGATGGAGAATGCTCCCGTCCGCAAAAACATGCGAAGAGTCCTGAACTTGCTCGTGAATTTCTTCTAGATGCTGCAACTGTTATTTTCAAGGAGCAGGCATGTTCATTCTGCTGATCTTCTTGTGTGTTAAAGCTTGTCTTTGTTTTTTAAAACTCAGCTCCTTGTTTGATTACCTTTTGGGTGATCATATGTTCATTCATGTTCCACATGTTATTCTAAAACCTCAGTTAGGTATACAGTTCAGTCTATATAGACATTGTTGTGGATTGAGGAAAGTAAAGAGGGATAATTATATTTGTTATGCAAGGAATGACACAAATTGTGGTGAGGTGAATGGTGTCTAGGGTAATGCAATCACAATGGTGCACTAGTATTACTATTTAAACCTTTTGTTTTAATTATTGAGGAAATGGTATTTAAAGGTTGAAGAACCTATGGTGGGGAAAGAGGAAGAAAAGGAATTTGACTAGCCACAAGTTGTGTACACTTTGTCTTCATAGCAGAATAAGGAGGAACTTCTCCTTACCTACTAATGTGGCTCAACCACAAACTAACACTTGTCCTTTTTTTAAATTCTCAAAGGTGCATTTATTTTTCACTTTAATTATTCTTCACAAAAGAGACACGTATCAGATTTTGGCTGAGCCACATCAGTAAGCAAGGAGGAGTTTCTCCTTATGGGCAAGGCGGGAAGCATTATCCTTGCTAAAATATTATGGCTTTCGAGCACCAAACATATGGTTGCACCATGCTATGCTGTGCAATTACTCACTATGTGCTTGTGTAATGCTGGCACATTTCTGAGTATGCACGTTGTGTGACTTTAATATTAAGTATTCCATGTTTGACTGTGAATGCTATTCTTTCAGGTGGAAAAGGCATTTAGAGAAGGAACAGCTCGCCAAAATGCGCATAGCATCTTTGTTTGTCTTGCACTAAAGCTGCTGGAAGAACGAGTTCATGTTGCTTGTAAAGATATAATTACTCTTGAAAAGCAGGTCTTAAATCTTGTTATATTTAAAGATAAGATACTAGGAAGAAAAACCAGAAGAGCCATTTTCAGTTTCAGGAGAAACACTTCTGATGGCTTTGTACTTTTTCCTACAGATGAAGCTTCTGGAAGAGGAAGAAAAAGAAAAGCGCGAGGAAGAAGAACGCAAAGAGAGGAGAAGGACAAAAGAAAGAGAGAAAAAGCTACGAAGAAAGGAGAGGTTGAAAGGGAAAGAAAAGGATAAAGATAAGAAATGTTCTGAAGCAAATCAAACTCTTGATCTTCACGACGTCTCCAAGGAAGAATCATCATCACTAATTGCTGATGAGGAGCCTAATAGTTCCATTAGCTGCAAGGATTCAGTTAGTGAAGCTGGTGATGATATTCTGTCTAGACCTGGATCTCCTGACACTCCAGATGAACAGTTCCAAAATGATTATATTATTTCAAAAATTGAAGATCCTTGTTATGATAGTTTTGATGGTGAAATTAGCAATGGGAAAAGTGGTATGGGTTCTTTTATAGCTGAACAATCAAAGTTTTCTCGACGGAGATTGAAATTTAGGAGAGAAGTTCAACTTGATGCATCTTTGAAGTGGTCTGACAAGCGCCGATATGCTGCTGTTTCAGATAGTGCTTCTGTGGTTAATAGATCTGAGTCGAGATGTAATGGTGATAATTTGGAGACTCCCTCAAGGGGCATCAATGGATCAAACAGGCAATTAAGAGTGAATGGCCCAAAGTCCAATGGTCGGCATAGTGGTCCTAAGTTTACTGAGAAGTTCCTCTCCCCCGGCAACCGGATGAGTGACAGATATGACTTCCATTCTTGCAACTGTAACAAAAATACTGAATATAGAGCAAAGGTAGAACCCCATGTTTCTGCTGCAAGAGTGGGCTGGGAGACCAAAACTGCAAGTAAGTCGGAATCTGCATTAGATATTTCTAAGCAATTCTATCGTGGTAACAGGTATAACCAAGTAGAACACATGCGTGATAGTTGTGCAAGACCCAAAAGCAAAGTCAATTCAGGGGACAATCCTGGTACAGATTTGCCTCAACCCAGGAAAATTTGGGAGCCCGTAGAGCCAACGAAAAAGTATCCTCGAAGTAACTCAGACTCTGATGTTACCTTGAGGTCATCTGCTTTCAAGTCTGAAGATAAAAACATGAAGTCATCTGGTGACATATGTACAGGTGATATTGTGGTAAATTCAGGTGAAGTTGATGAAGTTAATAATTTGAAGGAATTAAGAAAATCCAGCATAGGAATGGATGTCAGTTGTCAGAACGGATTTCATGCAGGAGCACAGGATTCTATTGACACTGCATTGAATGGAATTTCTGACTCCACAGTCGGCAGCAGTTCTAATTCTGATAACTGCTCATCATGCCTCAGTGAGGGAGACAGCAATACAACCTCGTCAAATCATGGAAATCAGGAATCTTCTTCCACTTCAGATTCAGAAGATGCCAGCCAGAAATCAGGAGGAAAAGAAGCTTCTTTATCTATTCAAAATGGATTCCCAGAGTGCCATAGTATGGAGAATAATCTGGATGCAAAGAGAGGGGAGTCTATGGAAAGCAGGGCACTGAGTGGCCCTTCACTGAATGGAGCAGGGAGTAACATTCTTGGGAATCCATCAACAAATATTGCTCAGAGATTTGATAATGGTTTGTCTGCTATTACTGTGGGTTCTCAGCATCATGGCATGCTTACTCCAATGCATAACCAAAATGTACACTTTCCCTTATTTCAAGCTCCTTCAATGGGTTACTATCACCAAAGTTCAGTTTCATGGCCTGCTGCCCCAAACAGTGGAATGATGTCTTTTCCTCATCCCAACCACTATCTATATGCTGGCCCTCTTGGGTATGGTATGAATGGAAACTCAGGCTTCTGCATGCCGTATAGTCCTGTGCAGCATGTACCCACTCCCTTGTTTACCCCGGGCCCAGTTCCAATTTATCCAGCCATCAATACAGAGGAGCAGACTCAAATTTCTAACCCAGGTGTGCAAGAATCTCTTTATGAAGCTAATACAGAGAGTGTGGATCCATCTGGACCGTATTCAATGCAAGCACCGGCAAGTGGAGAACGAGCACAAGACGATAATTCTGGCAGATTGCATACGAGTAATGATAGCTTTTCCTTATTCCATTATGGTGGGCCTCTTGCTGATCCTCCAGGATGTAATTCAAATCTTATGCCGTTGGAAGAACAGACTGTTGGGGATTTTCCACAAAAATGTTCAGATCATGTTGAGAATGATCATCATGCGTGCAATAAGAAAGAGGCTACTGTTGAAGAATACAACCTGTTTGCAGCAAGTAATGGCATAAGGTTTTCATTCTTCTGATGTAGTTGTAAGAAGGTGTGAGGTGGCTGTTCAGGAATTCAGTCTCTATCTTCTTATTTGGTGATGAAGGTTTGTGGTACCTGGTATATGGTACACAATAATCTTCCTTTGAAAAATTCCAATTTTAGCTCATAGTATTTTTTTTTCTCTTTAGTTATCCAAGTTGTCCCATCGTTTTTTTTGCCTATTATAGAGAAGGGAGAGTGCTACTATGTTTGAAGATTCTGTAGAGGCCGGGTTTTGTTTTTTGTTTTTTACTTTTATTAAATGAAGAATTTATTGGTATGGAAATTTTCTTTTTGTATTTCAGAGCTGAAACAGTCCCATCTGTTGTACTTGTTTTAGGATTTTGAGCCTCCTAAAACATTGTCAGTTAATTAATTGAAATTTCTTGGCTGATGAAAATAATGGGGCTTATGAGGAAGTTATTTGTCATTTCTTAATGCAAACTTTTTGAGAATAAATGTTTATTTTTATGCTCACTAAAATCGTTCCTGCGTTGTTACATCAAATTTTTTATGGCTTTGGATTTTGTTTACCATTCAAGTCATCATTGGCATCCACCTTTTCCAATGGCATATGGCATGGCTCTACACAACACAATTGAAAGCCAAAGGGAAGAAACAACCGAAGGAGAAAAAACCTGAGGGAGGAGGCTCTCCATTTGTTGGTAGGGTCTAGAGAAGAGAAGAAGGCTTGATGAAGTTCAGGTTTTGCAAAGATAAGATGCGTTTTCGTTTCTTTTAATTAATGTGATGGATGTTGTTTAGCCCAAGTTATGCCACATGAATTGGGAAGAGAAGTTGGGGTTAAACGGCGTTTTCAAATACTTTTGTACCTGACACATCATTTGGTGAACAAATTTGATTAAACGGGAGTTCAATTCTTGAACAAAAGCCTAACTGAGCAAAAGGCTAATTGGCTCAGTATCTGGCACTAGGGAAATGGCCCAAAGATAAGAATCTTAAACCAAAGAAAAATAACGCAGGCAGGCAAAAAGGTGCAAGTATAAATTTTCAGTTGAATCCACTGTTTCTTGCACAAGGAACTCTCAAGAATCAACTATCAGTTTCTTGCCCCACTAAACTTTAATACAGCAAGATAAAAACCAGGCTCGTCGACATAGTCGGTTAACTCGAAAGAATGTTGTGCCGCAACTTCCTGTAAAGTCTTCTTCTCAGGCAAGTCAGAAGTTACAACATCTGGATATTGTTGTCGTTGTTGCTCTAAAACTTCTCTTCCTTGGGGATGGCTAATAACCAGTCTTGCACCTATACAAGCAACAGCCATAACTCAGAATGCAACTTCAGGGTGAGCCCTGAATAACATGCCAGGATGAATCCGAGGCAAATAATGACACGTTATCGAGGCTGAGAAGCAGTAGCACAACACAGACATGAATGAAAAGAAAAATTGATACAAGAAAATCACCTGGCAAAAAACACCTTGCAAGTGCTCCAAACGCCTCATCAAGTGTAAAGGGCATGGCTGGAAGGAAATAAAGGAACACAACGTCTAAAGGTGCCCACTTATCAGGTACATATATTAATTCTCCTTGCCAACACTTAACCTTGTCATATTTTTCTTTAATGCCAGCTAACACAAAAAGTGAATCATGGACAACAAGCAAGAGATTGCAGGGTGATGATTCAACCACCCGATCCACAAATCCTTCGGAACCAATTGAAACCATAACTCTTGAAGTTTCTTCAATTTCTCCCGCAGATATAATGCGATCAATGTTCAGGTTATAATCTGGACCAGAACTGAAATCAGCGGAATCAAGAAAGGACCAGTCTTTCTCAGCAAAATCGTCGAAGTTGATTACAGAGACTACTCCTTCATCCGGTGGAGCTGTAGCACCACAAAATGATCGCCGAGCACGCAAAGCCTGATGCGGAATAAAAGGAAAGGAAAGAAAAAGAGGAGAGATGCATCGATTCCGATAACAGACACGGTTGGGGAACGTATAATGAGGTTGTGTTTGAAGACAAGGTAGCAACTGGAAGCTAGGTAGGGGAATGCAAAGGGACTGCGATGAGAAAACAGAATTCATTGCAGAGAACAACTGAATTTCCTTTTGGGATGCAAAGGCTTAATTATTGATAAATCAAAATGAACCGAAAGGGTTTCTGCTATTATTTCAAAAGTAGTTTGGATCAACTAGTTATCACAACCGGTTACACTAATCTTTTTATCAGAACCCCTGCATATAAGAAAGAAGAAACCAACTATTGTCAATCCTGAAACTGTAACTTAAATACTCAAACCATTCAATTTCAAACTGATAATAAGATAATTAATTACTCAAGTTCTAAGCTAACATCAACTTTGTTTCAGGCATTAAGCAGAAAGATACCACAAGCATTTTTGAATTGGAAGTTTATTGCAACAATCATTATCTTTTCTGGAACAACCAGGCCCAGCAAAAAATGTTCCTTTTGCGTTTCAGAACCTAAGAAAAAACAAGAACATGAAACTCAGTGTTCACATTTTTCTCTTTCGCCTCCATTTTCCAATGAAGCAAACGCTGTGTGTACCAAATTTTTCCTTAAAAAAAGATTTGTTGCATGAAAGAATTATACAAATAATAACCCAGAACTGGAAATTTGAAAGCACAGAAAGAAAACGAAGAGAGAAGAAGTTCAAGGCTTTGTCTGATTCAACGGAATTTTCAAATTTCTTTTGTTTTAGCTGATGTCCAGAACCAAATCCACTTACCCAACTATTCCTTTGAACCTCAACGGCGAATGCAAGCTGAGAGCCTCTCACTGCAAAGCCCTAATCCTAATTCCTCTGCCTTTAAACCCTAACAATTGTGAAGTTGGACTTCCACTGTCACCACCGCTACTTTATCACCAGAGCCGCTTAAAAACCCAAGCTCTTCCAATTATTGCCATTTAAAAAAAAAAATAAAACGAAAAAAAAAAAAAAAAAAAAAAAAAAAAAAAAAAAAAAAAAAAAAAAAACCCCAAAACATATGATGCCAATCCTAGTTTTTAGGTCAATCATTTCCTTGGTTAACTTACAGGTCAATGCAGTCATTTTATTTTATTTTTGTATATAAGAAAAAAATAAGAGTAAAAAGAGAAAGTGGTGGTAAATCTTTGGTTAATCACCAATGGTCCATAATTTATAGATTGATTACTCATTTTATTTAAAATTTGAAGGACAAAATAGACATTTTATGGTTATGCTTATTCTTGTATCGGATATCTATTTACTATACAAGCGATAATCTAAAGAACTCTTAAATATTATAATTTAGACTTATGATCTCCCTAATGAAGGGTCCCTAAATTTGGTGATTAGAGCCACAATAAGGGGCTATATCATTTCGGGTTCTATATTCTTTTTATGATGTAATTTGGTTTAAAGTTTTTTTGTGGGACTTGAGGGACCCCCCCAAGTGTTAAAATCACAAAGCCTTCATGGTAATATTTCAGGACTAAAAACTAAATCATGTATATATGTATCTCACATCCTCACACATATCTCAATCACCAAAAACAACAGGGCATTGTTTCATGTGGAACTCGAAATTAAGCATGGCTGCTGGGGAGCCTGCTCAGAACAGAGTGCTCTGGCTTGTGGTCACATTCATAATCGAGATGAACGAACGCCCGTTCGACTTCTGGGAGCTCTTCAATCTTGATTTGCAATGACTCTCCAATTGCATGAGCTTCTTTTAAAGGCAAATCTTCTGGCAGTTCTACGTCAACCTGTTTTTTTAGAGGAAAATTCTGGTAAGGACTTGGGAGGACAGGAACTAAAAAGCAGTTTTGAAATGAAATTTACTATCTTGGTGCCCTTCAACAACTGGTTTACAGCGGCTAGATTTCATGAGAAAAAGAAATGATTGGAGTACAAATTAACACTAGAAATCAAGTTGAACTTAATACTTTAACATTGCACCTCAACGAAATAAAGAACCCCAAACATGTAGGCACGAACTGTATCGACACGTCTTATTAATCTGTGGTGCCTTAGGATGAGGTATGTCAATTTCTGCAACACTTGAGGAGGAGCTGATTGTCCAACCAGAGAAACTGCATGAAGAAGCAACCAATAGAATATCAGTGTTCCCCGCTATAAAATTATTCCGAGTCTTTATCTATATGGCTTTCAATCAAAAGCACAGAACAACCTTTTGTGTGTGTGGGGAAGAGAGAGAGAGAGAGAGACCTGCATTTTCTAGCACAGTTCCGGACCAATTGGAAATTGTGTAGAATGCTAGGATGATAGCCCCAACAGGGTCAATCCACCAACAGAATATATCACCAAGAACAGCAGCAACCAAACCAACTAAGTTTGTTACCACATCAAAATAATGATCCTGGCAAGCATCAGTTTGAGTAATGCAGTAAGATCACAAAGCAGGAGGAGCAAATATGAAGTTTTATGTGTTATAAATTGCATGTATAAACCTTTGCATATGTGCGGACAATTGTGTTTCCAGAGCTTCTGCAATAACACCAAAGGACAAGTTTAACTCCAGTAGCTGTCAGCATGATGGCATACAACCAGATCAAGTTTTGTGAAATCATCTTCTCAGAAGGTTTGTCCTTGATCAGTTGTTCAAGGGCCTGGATAAGCACTTGAAAACCTGCACTGGAGTGAAAGGGCTATAGTGTATGCCTTCAATTTTTCATGTAGTCTTAAAACAGAACTTAAGTGAAGAAAGAAAACCCATTAGCACATTTTCAAGGATTCTAATGCAAGTGAAAAGATTCAGCTTCATACAATTATGGTTGCCAGTGTTCCAGTTATATTTGAGGAGTTGAAATTTTGCTTAAACTACTTTAGTCTCTGTTTGTATGGCATGAAAATTGAATCTGCAGGAGACATATGCCCCTTGATGAAAAACATTTGGGGGTTATTTTTTGAACATACAAATGAATAATTTGTGTAGCCTAAACATATATATTTCAACAGTACAATGGATCATTTTCACTGAACTTCCTAATATTATGATAAGGTAGAGGCTAGACCACATTACATACCAAGAGTAGCCATGACAGCCGCGAATACAACGATGCCTACTGGTTGCACTCTCAATTTCCCAATAGGGTACTTGTAGATATTTATGTTTTTCATGGACAAGTGTGTGAACCAAAGTATACCACCAGCCATAAGATCTAGCAAAGAATCTAGTGTTGATGCTGCAATAGCTAAGGATCCACTCTTTAGTGAAGCGTATACCTGCATTGCATAAAAACAAGAAGGGCTTTTACTTAACAATCAATGACTAACATGAAATCTGGATGAATTTTATGGAACAGTTGGCTCATTCTTGTTCAGGAAAAGATCTGCTTTCTCAGATTTTCTGAGAATAAGTTCGGATAGTTGAGATGCTGAAGTGCCTTGCCTTTTAATTTGCAGAATACTAGCAAAGCTGCATAAGGAATAAAATATATAACCTTAAAAGCAAGCAGAAAGATGTTTGCCCAATTAGAAATGTTCATTGCTTTCTCATGCTGGGCTTGTTCTTTTCGATCTTCCTCTTCATCAATGACATGGGGTGATTCTAGAGAGTCAACTTCCTCAAAAGACCTTAGGGTGGCAAATTGCTTCTCATAGTATTCTCTTTCCCCTAATACAAAAAGAAACTCATTTTTAAGAGAGAGGAACATATGTTTTATATTGTAAGTATCATCTTAGAGAATGTTCATTAACCGAAAACGATCAAAACTTCCAGATTTACTTTAAAAATCACTTAACTTAAACATATAATCATAATCAGAAAACAATTTATCTTCTTTTCCACAACCTCAATACCGTCTTTGTCGATGACTCAGTTGTAGTTTACTCAACTGATCACCTCATTAGCTCTATCCAATTGCTTGATCTATTTTAATGATTCTTCCAGACAGACTACAGAGGACATTCAAAACCATCATTTGTTCTGATATTTAGTAGTACTACATGATTAAAATATTTCAGACAACTACGAACATCGTTATTCGAAGTTAAATGGTCCATCCTTTTCTGTTTAAAATGGACTGCATGCAAGTGACCAATGCTGTTAATAATCAATCAAATAACTCCCATATTTCAGTAGCACAAAAATATCTAAATCTTACTGACACCAAATAAGATTCTCTAATTTTAAGGGTATTATCTAAATCCAGGATAAAAACAAGAACCAAGAGATAGTTTTGAGTTACCTTCTATCAAGCCAGTGGTTTTAGAAAGGTTAAGATGGAAAGGGGCCTCAGGATCGAAGCCAGACCGAACCTTGTCAGGCAATTTGGAGAAGAAATCACATTTCATAGCAGCAACAGAGTTACTGCTTCCAACTAAACCATGTTTGTTGGCCCTTTCATCTTCACATGACAAGAATGGGGTCTTGATCATATGGTTCAAGCCTCCTTCCATTGTACTCAAAATTCAAGAACTACCAATCTTTGATCCTACAGCAACAAACCCATCAATGCAATTACAGGTAGAGACAGAAATCTTTTTGTAAATAAAATTGAAAATCTTGTTCGAACAAGTTGCTTAATGTAGAGTCTTAGCTAGATGGCGACTGCTCCTAAATTCCGATACCCTAAAGGATTGGATATTGAAATTCGTGCTGATTATGCTGCTGGCTGATAGTCCACGCATATCCATTGCATGCAATACACTTGTTTGATCTATTAAGATTTTATATTATATCCGCCAGCACCTCTCAAATTGGAAAAATATTATACGAACTCAAATTCAAGAATAATTGTGACATACAAAAGAGAAACAACAATATCTAAAGAATTCTAGTAATAGGCATACATAGAATTTATCTACGGAACCATTAATAATATATAGCACATCCATGCACCACAGGCACAAATTAGAATACCAAACCCAACCTTATTTAACTAAAACCCAAAAGAATACAAAACATGTCTAGAATTCAAAACCCAAAAGAAACAACACAACAGTGGCAAAAGCCAAGCCAATAGCTGGAGCACTGCTTACGGTTGAGCTTGGTGACATCTCTACAGGATTAGAGGCCGAAGGTGATGAGGATCCATAAGGTGACGACGGGCTTGGACTTGGGATCAAATTTTCTGGAACAGGCAGAGAGACCTTGATATCAACCTTTTGTCCGGCTTGGCAATGGCCAGGAGCACCACAAAGAAAATAATAATGGCCGGGCCTTTTAAGGGTAATTGTGTCCGAACCAGAGGTATAAGATGAGATGGCAGATGTAGCATTGCAAGATTCAAAGTCTTGATCAGAAACATGCATCACGTTGTGGAATTGATTGTTGTAAGCAAAAATTAGAGTGTCGCCGACGTGAAAATCTTTCGTTGAAGCCCAGTTGTTGTAATCAACAAGGCCTCTCGAAGTCCACCCATCAGAATCTCCAACTCTATAAACAACACTAGAATAAGCACCACTGAACGCCATCATCACAAAGAAAACAAGAGTAGCAATGTTTCTGAAAGCCATGATCAGAACAAGCAGAGCAGACAAAAGAGGAACAAATTTAGAATGAAAAGAAAACTCAAATTTTGTGTGTGAAAGGTACTACGCACGGCCTTCCATTTATATAGGGTTAGGTTGTGTTGTATCCGAGTCCCATTCTGAAAAGGTTTTCAAACACAACCTCCTTTTTTTGGGCATGAGTTTCCAAATACTACTAGTAGAAGGAAATATACATCTTTTCATAAATGGATTAATATAAGTAGGCGCAAGGCCCAATTTATAAATTTTTTTTTGGAATAACTTAGTCTAACAACACTTGTTTTTGTTTTTTTGTTTTCAATTGAATACTCATTAAAATAGAATTGTATAATCCAATGTCAAAGTGGTATTTTTAGCATGTAGAAAAATAGTTGAAATTCACTCTAACTGAAATGTTAAAGTTCAAGGGTTTTCCCCTCCGATTCCGTCAGATCTTCGGTGTTCTTTGGCTTTTGGTAGACTTATGTCAATCTACTCTTTTTAATTGGTAGATTTATTGTCTCATATTTGGGTTGTTTTTGGTTGTGCCTCATCTTGCGAGGTTGCTCTTTGAGGTGTTATGACCATTGTCATGGTAGATCTACTGCTCATTGGTACATTGAGGCCATGGAGTAACTAGGTAGTGCTCTCTACATCATGTACTAAAGGAAGATTACCGGCAGTTGGTTTTTCCTTTTGCTGGGGTTGTTTTAGTTTGTTCAATAAAGTCCAAAAACTCCATGAATTAAATTTATGTGTTTTTTCTCTTATGATTCCAAAAACTTAGTTGAGTTTGCTAAGTGTTCTTAGTCATCTCTCTATGAGAGTCATACCGATTAGCTGCTAGTTTTGTCATTAATGTCATTGGATTAGATTCGAGAAAATTATGGCAGCTGAGGGGATTATAGAAAAGTTATTTTCGAAAGTGATTGTCTCTAAATCGTTTTAGCTTTTCAGCTAGCTTAGGTCACTAGGGAAGTTTTACCCATGTCTGCCATATTATTATTGGAATGACTCCCTTTACGGTATGTGTTCTTTGTACTATTATATATTCATATTGATCTAATAAAATTCTATCGCTTTTCTGTCATAAAATCAATAGAAGCAAATGTAAACCGTTTGGTGAGTGGTGAGTGGTGAGTGGTGAGTGAAATTGCTTCTATTTTTCAAAAGAAAAAGAGATATATGGTCCTCCAAACTGTGGAATCACAAGAGTGAAATTAAACTCTGTTTTGTTCTGCATGTAAAGAGAAAGTGGTAATATACTTCAAAACTATATATAAAAAGGGTAATGCTAGGGTATAGAGAGATCCAGATACGCTCATGTTTTATATAGCATTACCCTCTTTGTATTGGAGCCAATTCTTGATTGGATCCAATAACCTTGATGAGATGAGAGACCATCATAGAAACATTAAACTTAGAAAATTACACAAATACTAAAACTGAAAACCTTATTGCAAATTGATCCTAATCAAACATTACATTGCTTATATCGCATGCCGTTGACTGATGAGCCTTCATTATTATTTTCAAATTCCCAGTGTCATTAATATGATTATTATCAGAGGAAACGCGAACTTGGATCCGGTCGCAAAAGTAGCTCGCAAATCTGGGCAAGGGAGTTTTCTGGTCGCTCATCAACTGAGCCCTATACCTAGACCAAACCGAAAGCTTAAGCCCGAACCTGAGCGACAAAGTTGTGGTGTTGCCATCCGAGATTTCTTTGACCACGTCATTGGCCACGTACGCGCTGAGCATGTGGAGTTTGAAACTGATACCTCTTTGGTTCCTCTTGGATAAAGCGAAGGGGACCAAGGACGTCGCTGCGAGCACCACGAGTTCCTTCTCCTTCTCCTTGTGCTCCTGCCGCCACTCCCTAATATGTTGGTAGCCGCTGGGTCTGTAGAAGAGCAAGGCCTGGAGGCTGTCGCAGTCGATGTCCCACTTGTGGTTGGGATTTTTGGCAAGTAGCGTCAGATCCCAAGTTGCGGTTAATTCGGAGGAGGAGCCAGTCGCATTAATGTGTGGGTACTGTAGGGCAGCTGAGTGGACTCGGAACTCGGGGTTAAACCCGTCCGGTGGCCCCAAGATGATCAAGATTCCGAGTGGTATCATCCACGGCAGGGCAAAGAATATGCATACCTTCCATTCGCCCCAAGGATCAAAATCTTGGCGTTTCCTTGGATTATTCGTTCGGCTTGGGCGTCTCTGGTGATCTGGTTGTCTTCTTAGGCTCCTCTGGTAGTAGTTGCTACACATTGCTTGATTAATATTGCTTGATTAATTGTTAATGATTTGAGAGAGATCCACATTCAATATTCAAAGGGCTAATTAATTAATTGTTAATGATTTGGTTGACTCAAAAGATGAGAGAGAGTAAGACGGAAAAGCCGCGCATATATGATACAACCGAAACCTCCTGCACCTGAAATGATCAACCCTTATAATACTAACCAAATTGTTTACTCAAAATTCAACTTGTCACAAGCGCACGAAAGTCAACGTGCGTGCTTTTATTTGTTTTTATTTTCTTTATTCATGGAGATTTTCTAAAATATTATTTACATTTAAATAAATTCTATTTTACGTATTTGTTCCTTTAAGTAGTGTTGTGTTTTGAAAACTTGCCTTGAATGACGACAATTCTGTGAACTTTCGAAATTCTAAACATTCTATAAATTCTTCAACACCTACCAAACTCTCAAATCTGTTTTCTGTCTGTTTTATTAAGGCAAATTAATACTTTTTCTGTTTCCATTTTGTCCATCTTATTTGGCATTAATTTCACTTTTAGTTCCTGTATTCAAAAAGAGTGCTGTTATTTCCACATATCTGTCGTATTTCCTCACCCACCTTATCTTCCCACCCACCATGAAAATTTGAAAAACCACAATCCTATTTTTGAACTCACCGTTATTCCTAAAATACCCTTCCATTCACTTAACACTTTTAACCCTAACTTAACACTATTGATTGAGTCCGAAAAAATTAAAAAAGGTTTTCAGCAGCCACCCACCGCACACTCCATCAAACCTTAACAAGAACCACCTATAACTTCCACGTCGGGCCGAGCCTCCCCTCCTCCGTCCTCCTCCTCATGTCTATTTCACCATTATTTCAGTTGTATTGAACAACACCTTCAAACCCCAATCTAACATTCTTCTCCTCTCTCCATTTCAATCAACCCACGAATAAACAAACCCACAAGAAATATTACATCAATTGGCCCAGATCTGAGACGACATTTTGACTGCATTGCCTGCCAAAGTCGCTCATCCTAGTCTTCATCAATATCAGCAACTTCATGGCCCTTTATTCCTCCAAGTTTCCAATTTGAGATAGATAGAACATTCCAATCTTTATTCTTCCTTCTTAACTATTTCCTAGACATGCCCAGTTTGAGGTTATAGGTGGCAATTGATGATGTGACTGGCGGTGAGGTGAGGAGGGGAGGTTGGTTTGGTTGTCACGGGGTTGGGTGGGTAGTTTGAGGGTTTCTTGCTAGGCTCTTTTATTTATTTATTCTAATTTTCTGTTTTTATTTTTACTTTTATTTTATTGACTTAACAGTGTTAACTTAGAGTTAAGTCCTTAAAATTCATTTTACAATAGGGTAAATTTGCTTTTAAAATTTTAAAGATAATTAAGGTGGGTGGGAAAATAGGATAAGGAGGTGGGAATAACATCACTCATTCAAAAATCCTAAACACTCTCTGAGAAAACTCTAAGGAAAAAAGTCTTAGCAACCGTCCCCTTTGGGGGTTAGCAGTAGTATTTTTAGGGATATTCAAATCCAAAATTGGTCCAGTATGTGGTACGAATGACAATGGAGAATTCTTATTAGCATTTCCATGACCACTAGATTGGCCTTGCAACAGAATCAGAATCTCAATAGATGTTGCAATAGCTTGCAGACTAGTATTTTCCCTTCTTAGACTATTGGACTTTTGCTCAAGGGCATAAACAATAATTTTTCAACGGGTGGGCTAACTAAATTTATTAGCTTAAAATTTAATAATAATTTTTTTTGGTACTTACAATTTCTATAGTCTTTCTAGAAATAAAGTAAACATTAAGTTATATAAACCACACTAGTTCATAGCTCTATAAACTAATTTTCAATAAGTTTTAACATAAACCTAACTGAATTTAACAACATAGTGGATTGAACATCTTTCATATCATACATGAAAAATTGTTTTATGTAAAAATATTGACTAATATGAAAAATGGTTTTTCGGAATAATTATTTTCTCAAGATACACATCAAAACAAGAAAACTTGATGTTATGGGATTTTAGTATGACGTATATATTGACTTAATGAGCCATCATTTTTAGCCCAAATCGTATTTTGCACTAAAACCTATTTTTCATATTTTGATTTGTTAGGAATTTGATTTTCTAGTATTTTTATTTGAATCCAAATGGGGGTACTTCCTTATTTACATTGTAAACTTAATTAAATGGAGTAATAAAAATAAATGAAAGTAAACAAAACAAAGACATTTACTTAAATGTTGAAAATGGAAATAAGGTAACCTGTACACCTGGAGTGCACAACCACCAGCTAAGCAAAAGGGCAATTTGAAGCACCTACAATGATTTTTCCTGTGATGAGAGGTGTAGCCCACTGTAGCCCTTAGTATGGTTCCACCCTTGCTTTTGCTGCAATAGTTCATCAATTTTATTGTAACTAGCCTCGACTGCCATCACTACTATAAAAAACATGCACTATGTACTGATCCAGATTTGTCCCCTAAGTTAAGTTTTGAGACAATAAATTGTCTCCATTACCAATAGAGACTATGCAGCCGCTATTTTTAAATCAGTATCCTAGTTTGGGGTTGCTATTGTTTTTTGGGTACCATTTATTGAGTCAGTCCTTCCCTATTTTCCATTAAAGAAATACCTTTTAAGATACAAGTCATTTGAGTTAAGCCAAGCCATGTTCAATCGCTTCAAGCTTGGGATCTGATATTTGGAATGGTGTCTATTATATTAGGCACTAATCATGACATATAAGTTTGCAATTGTGTACTCTTCAAACAAGACAGATCTAAGTTTTAGTATCTTCTCCCTTAGAAACGCAAAAATATAGCAGTTCACGTTGGTTCAATATCAGTTCCCATTGTATGAGTACCTATTTAATAACACCCTATCATTTATGTAATACACTTAAAGCCATTAGTTCCTATTCATATATTACTTTTAATATTCACAAGAATGTGTATTTTAATTTAATAATATGCACTTTTTATATACAATTTGGTGCATCAGCTTGTCGTTGTTAGTTAAATTGTACCTTCTCAAGGTAGTTACATCCCAATATTGTTCTTGTTTCTTCCCCTTAATTATCTTGTTTCCAAAATTTATTCCATATAAAAGGGCAAATGCAAAGAGATTGAAATTTGGTAAACCTCAGATACATAATATAATGCTCATTACTTTACACGAGTCCTCCAGCAATAGAAGAAGGATACACAAGAGTACAACGTGGATAAATACACTCAGGTAAACGACCCTAGCTAGAACTCTAATAAGGAAACCCAAAGAACCCAGGCAAGCAAAGACATAGTAGAAACAAATCCATGAGGCCAACAAAAAGCTTACAGAAATATACAAAAGATATTAACATAAAAAAAGATCACCAAGGGGGCCTAGAAGACCATCTCTTGAAAGTAGAAGCACCATAGATGGAGGAAGCTGGGAAGCCCATTGCATCTCTTGAAACCAGAAGCATCCTAATTTCAAATATGTGTGTGTTTACATTCTCCCGCCTGCTTTCAAATTTCATAGTCAAGGTGTTGAAAAAGTAATGCATATTTGTGTAGATGTAACTACACAATTCTAGAAAACTCAAGAAACTACAAACTAGATAAGGGAAGGTAACTACCAAAGACAAGTTTCTTAAAATCCAAATGAGGGTGCAATAATCAAATCCCACATCGGCTGAAATTAAAATAGCAAACTAAAGTAACTCGTAGTAAACAGTAAACTTCTTCATCGAAACATTAAACTTAGAAAATTACACAAATACTAAAACTGAAAACCTTATTGCAAATTGATCCTAATCAAACATCTCACTGCTCTTATCGCATGCCGTTGACTGATGAGCTTTCGTTATTATTTTTAAATTCCCAGTGTCATTAATATGATTATTATCAGAGGAAACGCGAACATGGATCCCGTCGCAAAAGTAGCTCGCAAATCTGGGCAAGGGAGTTTTCTGGTCGCTCATCAACTGAGCCCTATACCTAGACCAAACCGAAAGCTTAAGCCCGAACCTGAGCGACAAAGTTGTGGTGTTGCCATCCGAGATTTCTTTGACCACGTCATTGGCCATGTAAGCCCTGAGCATGGGGAGTTTGAAACTGATACCTATTTGGTTCCTCGTGGATAAAACCAAAGGGACCAAGGACGTCGCAGCGAGCACTACGAGTTCCTTCTCCTTCTCCTTGTGCTCCTGCGGCCGCTCCTTAATATGTTGGTAGCCGCTGGGTGTGTAGAAGAGCAAGGCCTGTAGGCTGTCGCAGTCGATGTCCCACTTGTGGTTGGGATTTTTGGCAAGTAGCGTCAGATCCCAAGTTGCGGTTAATTCGGAGGAGGAGCGAGTCGCATTAATGTGTGGGTACTGTAGGGCAGCTGAGTGGACTCGGAACTCGGGGTTAAACCCTTCCGGGGGACTGTGCAGCCTAAAGATGATCATGCTTGTGAGTATTAGTAGCACGGCGGCAGGGAAAAGAACATGCATACCTTCCATTCGCCCCAAGGATCAAAATCTTGGCGTTTCCTTGGATTATTCGTTCGGCTTGGGCGTCTCTGGTGATCTGGTTGTCTTCTTAGGCTCCTCTGGTAGTAGTTGCTACACATTGCTTGATTAATATTGCTTGATTAATTGTTAATGATTTGAGAGAGATCCACATTCAATATTCAAAGGGCTAATTAATTAATTGTTAATGATTTGGTTGACTCAAAAGATGAGAGAGAGTAAGACGGAAAAGCCACACATATATGATATAACCGAAACCTCCTGCACCTGAAATGATCAACCCTTACAATACTAACCAAATTGTTTACTCAAAATTCAACTTCTCACACGCGCACGAAAGTCAACGTACGTGCTTTTATTTGTTTTTATTTTCTTTATTCATGGAGATTTTCTAAAATATTATTTACATTTGACTAAACTCTATTTTACATCTATATATATAAAGTAAAAGGCAGAGAATGGTGAAACATTCAAAATACCATAAAATA